AAAACAGCACTCAAATGGAGTTTTCAATAGAGAGTGTCTTTAAGAGGCCATTTGCAACAAACCCCATTAAGTTAAGCCTTGGGAATAATGGTAATGGTTTACTTATGTTTGGAATACACTACACAACTTTTGAACAGATATTTACAGTCTGGATGATTCAATCCAGTCAGAGGGTATCAAACATGTTTGATATTTTGAGCCGATTATAAGAACATCTAGCAATGAGGCACATATTTCTGCGTGAGTTTGTGGTGTTTGAAATTACTTGAAAGTCTGGTAGCGTGTGATCCTCAGGCTTTTAGCATACAATGCCTAGTTTTTCATCTGTAACAATTCATAAAGTTGGTGAATGTATTACGTCTAGTGTTTTAAAATCTCTTCAAATTTTAAAAGTTGTGTAGTGCATTTCAACCTTTAAAGGGGTCATATGGTGTTGCTAAAAAGAACATTATTTTGTGTATTTGGTGTAATGAAATGTGTTTATGCGGTTTAAGGTTCAAAACACATTATTTTTCAAATACTGTACATTATTGTTTCTCCTTTATGCCCCACCTTTCTGAAACGCGTCGATTTTTACAAAGCTCATCGGTCTGAAAAGCGAGGTGTGCTGTGATTGGCCGAATACCTCAAGCGTGTGATGGAAATGTTACGCCCCTTACCATATTGTGATGATGCCCTGTCCGGCCGGAGCGACGATTCAAAAACATGAAAACCCATTATAAACGAGGCATTTGTTGCATCAAGGGGGGATATAATTATGGATTATAATGACTTGTACTGTCTTTTTCCCTGTTGCGTTGCATCGCGCCGCATTAACATAAAACCATGTCTGCATTTGTGATCGGAGAAATGACAAACAACAAGCCCTACTCTACACTGTTCAAAACTCACGTTTGAATCATCGGTGGTAAATTCTTTAAATATAAAAAAGTACTTACTCAGAGTCAGAACAGCCGGCATTGTAGTCTACTCTACCAGGATCAGGAAAGAGTCCTCCATAAAATGTGCTGCACACATCTGAATATTTGGGTCGAACTGTTCTGGAACAGTGTTGTAAATACAACTTAACCACTGATTTCTAGTCATGTCCTCTTTTGGAAGACCAAACAAAGTAGTTTCGCTTTCACAACGAAACCCAGCGTCACACACGGCAGCCTAGAGTGAGCGGCGGTGGCCTAGAGTGAGCAGAGGCCGGGGGCTAGAGTGAGCAGAGGCGGCGGGCTTGAGAATGGCACGGCCGGCAGATTCGACGAAGCAGCGTCCGGAGGGCTTGCGGCAACCACATGTGACGACCCCGGGCTGGACTCCGCTTCATCCACGGTGAAAGCCAATCCGGCGATCCACAGCATAAACTTTCTTTGCGTAAACATTTGGGTGGCTTTATGCAAATCTTCCCACATAGTGACGTAGACATGTGGGGGCGTGTTAGAACGAGCCATTTTAGGTAGGCGTGGCTGACTCTTATCTTCTATAAAGGATATCTCTTTGGATTTGAGACTTTAGTATTTGCAATTTAACAGATCTTCTTTATGCACCAAGAGCTTGTAACACTCCAAAGAGAAAGGAAAAATTTAAATCGCATCACATGACCCCTTTAAAAGGATAGCTCACCCAAAAATTTAAATGATATCTTACCCTCATGTTGTTTAGCTTCAAGCACAGCCTAAAACACTTAATCTTATCATCTCAACTAAACCTCACTGTCACAACAATTAATGGTTTTAAGGAACTGACAGAAACTTCCCTGCAATTTTAAAACAAAGTGGCTTTATCTTAATCCCAATTTAAGTACATAATGATTTACACTCAACAGATCTCAGATCCATGTCCTTCTTTGCTTTGTTTGATGAAAAAAAAAAAAACGTACTTTTTGACATTTACTCCTGTATTTCTTTAAAATTTTGTGCATAATGATTTATAGAACTAACTAGCCAGCATATCTAGACTAGTTAATCAAAGGAATTAAAATAGCCTTGACAAGAGACCATATGAATGATGTTTATGGTGAAGCTAAATTGTTTGACATCACTATTTGTGACTTTCTTTACAATCAAACTAGTAGAAACACACACACTACACATCGATAACCCACTTTTAAATGCCCATGGACCTTTTGGTCAAAGATCTCTAATCCCAGAGAGAAGAGCACACGGGTGAACAGAGGTTTTAGGGTCACACCCTAATGAAGCCTAATCCGCCAAAGGTTAAAGGTCACTGTGTATCCACTTTCCTGGGCATAAGAAGGTTCTTTCTTTTGTGGATGTTAAACCTCCTCTTTTCATGCCTTCAGAGCATAATGAGAGTCCAGTCACAGTGAGAGAAGCGCCGGGGTAATTAGGCGTAGAAGCTGATAGGGTGTCATTAAACATTAATGGAATTTATGTGGATTATTTCAAGTATGTCAAATTGTGTCAGAAAGATTAGTTCACATAAAGGCTTTTAAACTGACAAAGGAATGATAAAAGCTTGGGGTGACATGTTAACCGCTTTGCACAATATATTTATTTTTATTTTCGAAGGGTACCAAAATGCCGCTCGACCGGTTGGGTCACACAGGTATCACGCTCTCAAGTGCACGTACACAGAAACACACTTTTTGAGAAACTGCTCTGTGTTTCAAAGTGAAAAGGAAGTAAAGTGCCGTTCATGCTGCCTATCAAGAAAAAGATGAATTGTAAATCACAGGACCTTCCTAGACTCTTCCAAGAACTTCCATCGTTGAGGGAGCTGATTATTTTGATCTAATACAGCCATGAGTCTTTTTGGGAAAGATCCAACAATATTGCTACAAATATACCCCAGCAACTTAAGACTGCTTTTGTGCTCCAGGGTCTCACACACACACACACACATGTAATATACATATATAAATATATATATTTATAATTACTTAGTATAGTTAGTTAAAATGAACTTGTATATATTTTAATAAATTTACAATCAAAATATATTGTTCAAAACATATTATAAAAACACATTTATTCAAAATTTATTTTAAGATAGGAAGTATATTTTCTTGCCCCCTTTAAGTGTTTTTATAATATTTTCAACATTACATTTTTTTAGAATATTTTTTCCCCTATGGGTTTTACTGAAAAAAGCACTGATTAAGTATTCTACTCTATAATTATAGTATAAATAAAAATGATAATTAATAAAGGTTGTCTGCTCTTATGCCATCTATAATTTGTTTACAGAAAGAAAGTGGTAGATCACTATCTTTAGTTGCCCACAGGCTTAATAGTTCATTGAGGATTTATTGGCTAAATTACTGTGCAACAGCATTCTTTCCCTTCATTTCTGAGTGAAACACATCTGTGGGCAAAACAGGCACAATGAGAGCTGAATGTGAACATAAGACTGTAAACCTATGAGATTTGTTTTAAATTTCAGAATTAGGAATTCAGAAAGAGGAAGTAACTAAGAAACGTACAGCAAAGAGAAGAAAAGAGAAGTAACGAGAAGAAGCTGTGACAGTGGGGGGAAATGCTAATTTGTAGCTGCGGTGATGTGTTTTGATGTTAAAAATAATGCAAAGCATCATGTATTCCTACTCACTAACAAGGGAGGCTGTTACACGTATGTTTGTGTGTGCAAGAGTTGCACATGATTTTAGAGTTTTGCATCATTCTGTTGACACAAACACACCCAAGTATATTTGTTCAAAGGTTGGTCATTCTTTAATAGAGGCAATGTCCACATTTGTACATAGTGTGCCACCTGGTCAAAGGCAACTGAGGTGAGATTATATGAGGTCTTTAAGGGTTATAAGTTTAGCCTGAACTCGTAAGCATGCTTTAAAGAACATGTTGTTCCATGTCTCTCCAAATAATTTCCAGTCCTCTCTTAAAAAATAAAATCTATACAGAGTATGGAAGAATATATATCTCACTGTATAGACATAATATTGTAATTTTTGTAAACTACATAGCAATATTTAGTTTCTATGTATACGTTTATATGGCTGGAATGACAATAAACACTCTCTATAGGATGCATTTGAATTTGTATACACTGTATACTCCTAAATATAAAAAAAAATTTAATATAACAGCATAATATAAGATAATGCCAAAGCATCAATAAAAATAATGTAAATAAATAATAGTGCTGTAATTTTTCTTTGATGATATGTGGTTTTTCTTAGTGTTTCATTGCTATGTAGGTGCTAGTGATTTCTTACTAGGTCAAACCAAAAAAGCCCAACCAAGTTTCTATATTCTTGTCACTAGATGTGTCTCAGGTTTCCCTTTCAGTATTAGTCCATAGTTGTTGTTTTTTACCCCCATCAGATTGCAGTTAAAATTAATAAAATAAAGTTAAATATTATTTTAAAAAATAGAATAAATTATTAATATTATTATAGATTAAATTATTGAAAACAAATAATTAAATAAAATAAATATATAGAATAAAATAAACAAATATAACTAAATATAAAATATACATAATATATAGAATAAAAATAAAAGTAATGAAATAATAAAATAAAAATGATTAAATTATTACAACTATTAAATATATACAAATATTTAAAAATTTAAATATCAAAATAGAAAATATTAATATGTAACTAAAATAAAATAAAGTTTAAATGTGTGCAAGTGGACACTGAGTGGCTGAACACTGGGGGCGGAGAAAAGCCCTTCATTTCAGCCAACCAGATGGGAGGGTGTGATCGCAGACACGTGGAACACAGTCCAGGAAATTCATAGAAGCACAGAGACATACTGTACATACTGTACATGAAAACACGTGGAAAATAACAACCACTCAGAGGCAGGAGGGACCAAAGTGTCCTCATAATACAAAGAATCACAACTGTGAGGCCAAACCAAAGTCTGAACGTGTGGTTTACTGTTGAATAACAGCCTGAATGTGAAAAAATCGTATGTGCTTTAAAGAAATAATTCATCTTAAAGTGAAGATTGTCATACTTTACTCACCCCTCATGCTGTATGACATGAGTTCACTGTAAGGAGTTCAAAAACAGAAGAAAAAAAACAATAAATGCACCAAACAATGCATGCTTTGCATATGTTATTTTCTAATTTTGCTGTAATGCATTCCCATACCTCTCATTAGGAAACTCCATGACTAATGAAGCCCTTATGTGACATTTTTAATTACCTCAAGGAAAAACTGCTTACACAAGACGCTCTGCCCTCGTTTTGGTGTAATTCCAGCATTCTCCAGCATGTGTGGTCTGTGACTAACCAACAAGCCTGAAGATGGAAGCCTTGAGAAAAGCTCTGTGAAATCTGGGTGACCAAAAAAGGCAGTTTGGATGAAAATAGTAACACCTCCTAACCAAGCCGATTTACTCTGCAATCATAAAGTTATGGTTACAAAGCACATAAGTCCATTTACATCAGTCACACCACTGCAATGCACGTAGACAGTTTTATGCAAAACTCACAATTAATGTGCTGCAATAGTTTAAGTAACACACATAATAGTAGTATAAAGAGCTATTTTTATATTTTCTGACATTTTCTTCTACATATTAGTCCAGGCTATTTCTCTATTTCTCCCCATTTCCCTATATGACCCTCCCTTCAGCACAAATCTGTTGTATTTTTTAGCAATTTTATTGCCGTGCAAAATTTGAATTTTTATTGTGTGTTCAAATGACTAACCTTAAGCATGACCAATAATAATACTGATACTTGTCTTGCATGAATGAAGGAAAAGAACTAAGAGAGAAAACACATTTACAGCCCAGTAAAGGTTCACTTTCAGTCTATCAGAAATGAGCGCTAAATTTGACCCGGGTCCCTCATGGGTGGGTGTTTTTGAGCTGAAAACTTCCATTTCTGTCATGTATGTCAGATGATGAGTCTTGTTTTTGCTAGGGGGCTTCCCCTTTTTACGAGTGTTGGTGTCTGACAGCTCATCTCTACCTTATGCATGATCCGACTGATACAGTAAGTGATCTGAATCTGCGGTTCTGCAGAAGCACAGGAATCATAAGACACCATAGCATGATAAATGAGCTTATTGAAAGTCTCAGAGGTTCACAGATTATTCATATTTAGACCAGATGTACCGGTGGTGGTTGATATTTTTAGTTGGATGTTCTTGTCATGCACAGTCAGACTTGGTTAGATGATTGAACTGATGGTAGATCAGACCACTCAAACATGCATGGGAAGACAAACTCTTTCAACTCTTCTGGTAAAAGGGTAGGAGCTTCACTTGGTGGATTACTCATTAGATGAATCTTCTGATTTCAGCAAAACAGCCGTCAGAGTATAAAACAGTGTGCCTTTTTTTCATAAAATACCCTTTATCCATCTTTGTGTCAAGACATCCGCCGATGTCAGTCCACACTTGACACTTCAGTCTATATAAATTATTATATAATATATCTAAATGCTTTTGTACACCCAAATCACACATTTTGCTTGTGCTATCTGTCTTTCGAAAATACTACTTGGTTTCATATTTTATTATCCAATGCAATAACTTTCAGACATGTTACTTAAATGTCTTAACACTGCTGCGTTTAACAGCACAGTGAATGGCTCTTTTATTCATAATATAGCTCATTTTCCTGAGCGTCCTGTTTTCAGCCAGTGCAACAAAAGCCCACATTTTAAGGCCATTCAGATCTGATTTTGACCCTGAGCCAGCTGTAAATTGATGTCATTTCATTATTTTTGTACAGGATGTAAGCATCTTAGAGGTTTCCTTAAATTACTGCTGTGCCAAATCATAGTGCTATGCTGAAAGTGACCACTATGAATCACATTTTATCGAACATTTTCATGATTTCTCAGAATCCGTTCACTTTTTTAACATGTTCATGCATGAAATCAGTATATACTACAGGAATCTGTGATTTTTATATCCAATTAAGGTAAAGTACATTTATAATCATTATCAGCAAATTTATTCATAATTAACATTTCATCAACTCTCTGCATACAAACAGTTGGTCAATGGAATTTCAGTATATAGGCAATTTGCCAGGCTAATTATTTAAATCAGTGGTCTCAATGCCTAAAGAACACTATATATATACATATGGTTCATCCCCTTTTCAGCCATTCAAGTACATGCACACTTCCTGTTGACATCTTCATGGTGATTTCTGTTAAAGCAGAACAAAGGTCTAAAAAGCAAATTATATGATGTAACCGTGACTCTCGGGGCCCTACAAACCCTGATTTTTAACATCAGGGTGGAAAGTATGCAAATGAGAACAATGTAAGAGAAAAACTGATAAGTAACAGGAAACGTTCCTTTTTAATGTTAAACCCAGATGGGGAGCTTCCCTCTGAGTTGCCTGCGAGTAAAGTGCTAGCACAAGTACTGCAACAGAAAGTACGGGGTGAATACCTACATATGACATTCATGTGAAATTTCCCTAAATAGCTCCTTTGTGTAGGCTTCTTGATGAGCTTGAAGTATTTTAGTGTGAAAAACCACAAATTTGAATCGCTCCAAGAACTCAAGACACATTTTACAAGAACATGCATATTAATCGGAACGATCAAGAGCACTATATACTGTATATGCAGTTTGAATGCCATATCGTTTCTAAAAAACAACTAAAATCCTTTTAGAGTATTAAAACGTTCATGAAATGTAGTTTGCATTGCTAATGCATCACAGTTTTCTGTTATTAAAACTGCTACCGTTTTGCATGATGCAACGTCAAGACGGTCTCCAGAAAAATGGCTAAAAGTTTTGGTTTGTGTGTGGCCTCTGGTTCCGTTACCTCTATGAGTGATGCATGTTTCCACAGCGCATGCCTTCTCAATAGGAGGATTTCCCCTTGTTGTTCAAAGCTGCACTCATGATTCACTGTTTTACTCGCTCTCTTTCTCATTCCATCCCTCTCTCTCTCTCCAACCGAGGAGGCTGTGGAGAAACGAATAAAGGGGGAGTTTCAAGAGCAATATGAGTAAACTGCAAAAGTCTCACCGCAGGCAGGTGGTTAGATACACTTCAGTGGTCTCAAATGTGTGTTATTTCAGCCCTCATGCATCTTACTGCAAAGTTAGGTGACGTTTGATGGGAATCATTTAAAAAACTTCCAGATGCATTACAGTAATGGGAATTGGGGGTGAAATGTGCTTAATTGTCATGAAGCTTATGATTTCTCTATAATCTCTCATGCATGAGATTCACCTGTAAAAGCTTCATTCCAGTGGGAAACAGACGTTTTCAGAATAACCGCCGGCATGTATTTCTCAATTTCTTCAGCTTGTTCCTAAAGCTGCAGAGATCAGAAGAACATGATAAGCTCCTCAACACACAGGAATGTGACAAGATACACAACAATTTGCCTGCAGGGGATTACTTCATGGAAATGTATTCAAATTAAGATGATGGCATTGCAAAATAAAGATGTTAGAGAGCAGCTTTATATATATATATATATATATATATGTGTGTGTGTGTGTGTGTGTGTGTGTGTGTGTGTGCATAATCTTTCCTTAAAAGGCCATAAAACTCTTGATTACTTTTTTTAATCTATCGGCAACGATAATATTTGATATTTCTGATTTGAAGGGTTTTACCAAGTAAAATCATCAAAGTATGCATGCGATACACATGTCACTGAATTAAAGGGACCAAGAAGTCCTACTAAATACCGGGACAAAGTATCTTTCCTTAAAAGGCCATAAAACTCTTGATTACTTTTTTTAATCTATCGGCAAAGATAATATTTTATATTTCTGATTTGAAGGGTTTTACCAAGTAAAATCATCAAAGTATGCATGCGATACACGTCACTGAATTAAAGGGACCAAGAAGTCCTACTAAATACCGGGACAAAGTTCAGTAGTACATGATTACAGTACTCAGCAAAGCTTGGTTTACATTCCCTGGTGACTGATATGCATGTGTGCGCATGGGTGCTTGTTTGGTAGCTGACGTATCACTATGATTTCAAGGCCAGATGGCTTTCTGTGAAGAGGACAAACGAGAGTTCGAATGAGTGCATGTGTGTGTGAAGTGAATTGGATTGATCAGGTCATTGCATGAATGCCAACTCGATAAAAACACAGGACTACAAAGATAGCAGTAAGTCTTGGCTCTGACATTATATGCGCTCTGTTCCATTCCAGGGAGTTGTTTCTGAGAAGTTGGATTTCGCTGTATTTACCATGTGGCACACAGAACCCTATCATAGAAGTCAGTCAGAACAAGTCCTGATGTGACACGAGCACATTCTCTCTGGATATGCGTTTTAATTTGGTCAGATAAAATTATCTTGATGTCCAGATAGTTCCTCGAATGCTGGGTGCCGAATTTCAAGCATGTTACAGGAAATTTGGTTTTCAGGTAATAAAAAAAACTAATTTGTCTAAATTCATGAATTGCATTTCTCTTACTCACTGGCAAATAGTTGCCCACGCCCTTCCCCTTTTAAGCATAAGCCACAATAAATTTAGTGAGATTTATGCTTAATAATATTAATAATTAGCCAATGGGATAAGAAAAATAAAGTTAATTCAATATATTTTCTCATAATATCTTATGCTGCTATACAAAGATAGCAGTAAGTCTTGGCTCTGACATTATATGTGCTCTGTTCCATTCCAGGGAGTTGTTTCTGAGAAGTTGGATTTCGCTGTATTTACCATGTGGCACACAGAACCCTATCATAGAAGTCAGTCAGAACAAGTCCTGATGTGACACGAGCACATTCTCTCTGGATATGCGTTTTAATTTGGTCAGATAAAATTATCTTGATGTCCAGATAGTTCCTCGAATGCTGGGCGCCGAATTTCAAGCATGTTACAGGAAATTTGGTTTTCAGGTAATAAAAAACAACTCATTTGTCTAAATTCATGAATTGCATTTCTCTTACTCACTGGCAAATAGTTGCCCACGCCCTTCCCCTTTTAAGCATAAGCCACAATAAATTTAGTGCGATTTATGCTTAATAATATTAATAATTAGCCAATGGGATAAGAAAAATAAAGTTAATTCAATATATTTTCTCATAATATCTTATGCTGCTTTAGTTCTCATGTAAATTTGCACAGTGTTTAGACCATTTTAGTAAAAACCAAGACAAAAGTATTGATTAAAAATTATTTTCAGTGTGATTTCACTAATGGAAATTTTGTTACTAATTTAAATTTAGTTAATTTAGTTCATTTTAGTTTCATAATGTCTGATTTCACAACACGTTAATTCAATTTACTTTTAATTTGAATATTTAAAATATGTGTTCTCATTTCTTCCGGCTTTTTTTTCCAGTTTAAAAATTAAAATAATATTATTTTATACAAATCATAATCAAATCAGCGTATGCTCTTTGTAGGTTTAGAAAAAGTCGTTTTGTCAAACATTCCCTGTGTTTAATAGTAAAATGTGTAAATGCTTTTCTTAAAAGCCACAGTGAAACCCCAGTCCACAACTCATTGTACTTCTGTAATACAATGTATTTCTGAGTCAAATTAAATCTTTAATGAGAAAATGTTGACACGACTTGAATTTATCCATCAGAAATTGACTGGATCATAAAAAGCAGGCTTTTTTTGCACAGGACTAAGATGCCGAGTGAGATTATGAAGACAAAAAAATTATTTGGAATAACATTCACAGTAAGACCAGAAATGTATAGTAAATAGTCAAAGGATCAATTTAGATTTTATGTCGATTTCAGACCCGTCAGATTTAAATGTGTGTGCTGTGTGTTTCTGGCACCAAAATATGTGTTCTCATTTCTTCTGGCTTTTTTTTTCCAGTTTAAAAATTAAAATAATATTATTTTATACAAATCATAATCAAATCAGCGTATGCTCTTTGTAGGTTTAGAAAAAGTAGTTTTGTCAAACAGTCCCTGTGTTTAATAGTAAAATGTGTAAATGCTTTTCTTAAAAGCCACAGTGAAACCCCAGTCCACAACTCATTGTACTTCTGTAATACAATGTATTTCTGAGTCAAATTAAATCTTTAATGAGAAAATGTTGACACGACTTGAATTTATCCATCAGAAATTGACTGGATCATAAAAAGCAGGCTTTTTTTGCACAGGACTAAGATGCCGAGTGAGATTATGAAGACAAAAAAATTATTTGGAATAACATTCACAGTAAGACCAGAAATGTATAGTAAATAGTCAAAGGATCAATTTAGATTTTATGTCGATTTCAGACCCGTCAGATTTAAATGTGTGTGCTGTGTGTTTCTGGCACGTGTGTGAAATGTCAGAAGGAACATGTGCGTGGGTGATTTGTGGGAAAATGTCCTGTGACAGCAGCATGAAATGGGCTGAGTGACAGCGGACAGCTGAGGGATGTGAAACAAGACAAAAGGACAGTATATATGTGGCGGAGTGCGTGAGTGTGTAAGAGGAGAGTGTGTGTGTGTGTTCAAGCATCTGTGTATCTGTCTGAGTCTGCAGTGGGGCAAACCATTTCACATTCCTCAGACGCAGTTGTGTTTTGAGTGATTTATAGTTCGTCTGAATCAGTGGCGAGTAAAAGGCATGATTACAGAACATTATTTACATATGGAGATACAAATGTTCACGACTGTGGATGAAAACAGATCATTCACTTAATGACCGGCTGCAAAAGACATCTTATTTACAGAACATCAAACCAAACTTTATACTATAAACCAGTTAGCCCACATGAACCCATTCGAGCCTAACTCACCCTCATGTTGCATTATTCTATAGAATGTACAGGCTGCTCTTTTCTGTTAACTGAAAGTATATAGGGACAGAAGCTGTTAAATATAAACAATCACTGAAAAAACACAATCACTGAGTTTAAAAATGACTTGTAAACTCAATCAGGTGTAGCTAATCAACTTCTCAATGGCACACAAAGCCATTTGACATTCAACTGTGATCAGCTGTGCTCATTTTGATTAGCTCAGCATGAAAAGAGCTTTCCTGGAGCATTTCAGTCCTTGGTAGTGCAACTGAAGCTATGGATGGCAAGGCACTGTCAAAAGATCTCTGGGATAAAGTTGTGGACAGGCACAAGTCAAATTTCAAAGGCTTTAACAATGCCTAGAAGCACAATGAAGTCTATTATTAAGAAGTGGAAGGTATTTACAACACAGACCCTCCCTGGATCATGACGTCACTCCAAACTGAACGAAAGAGCCTGGAGGAAACTGGCCAGAGAGGTGACCAAGAGGCCTACAGCAACTCTGAAGCAGCTGCAGGAATTTATGACAAAGCGTGGTCATTGTGTGCATGTGGCAACAATATCACAAATTCCTCACAAACATGGCTCGTATGGGAGGGTTGCAAGAAAAAAGCTACTCCTCAAGAAAGGCCACATGCAGTCAGACTGAGCTCTTCCAAAACACACCTTGAAGATTTTGAGGCAGATGAGACTAAAGTTGAATTATTTGGCCAAACGATATGTCTGGCAGAAATTCAATACAGCTCACCATCCAAATAACCGCATTCCTCCAGTAAAGCATGGAGGTGGTAATATCCTGTTAAGGGGGTGTTTCTCTGCAGCAGGGACCAGAGCACTTGTCAGGATAGAAGGAAAAATGGATGGGGCAAAATACTGTCAAGTTCTTGAGGAAAATCTGCTGCCCTCTGCCAGAAAGTTGTCAATGGGAAGAAGGTTTACCTTCCAACATGACAGGTGCCGGGTTTCCATCCAAAGTTGCGAATTTTACTTATGCACAAAACTGGAATATCGCATAAAACATTTGCGAACCAGCATCGTTTCCATCCAACAAGTGAAAGAGAACAAAATCGTCACTTCCTGATAAACTGGCACTATAAATCACTAAGTAGGAGAATATAATAATTTTCATATATAATAAATAATTTATTAATACTTTGATGACAGACTTTGCTCGTGCATTTCCGAATGACCATATAACAACATGTCAGATGCGTTTCTTATGCGATAATTCAAAATGCGCATTAAAATAGGGTGATGGAAACACAGCTAGTGACCCAAAGCACACAGCAAAACTGAGCACACAGTGGTTGAAGGAGAAAAAGGTGAATGTCCTTGCATGACCCACTGAAAATCTGTGGAATGACTTGAAGACTGCAGTCCACAAATGGTCACCATCAAATTTAATTGAACTAAAGCAGTTCTGCAAAGAAGAGTGGGCAAATAATGCAAAGCCTAGATGTGCAAAGTTAGTAGAGACATAAAGGCTGTAATTAAAGCAAAAGGTGGTTTAACAAAATACTGACACAAGCGGGTGATCCTTTTTCCAACTCAGTGATTCTGTTTTTTGTTTCCTGACATGTTGGTGTTATATCTTTCACGTGGATATTATAAGTTGCACTAAGTAAATACAGCTGGATAAAACAAAAACTGTGTCC